CCCCAAAACCCCAAAACCCCTTGTTTCCAAAAGCCTAATGAATTTCATTGAGTCAATAATTTAATAATTTCGATCGATAAAATGGAGTTAACTGATAAAACTAGGGAGGATATATATGAGATAATGAGAGAGAAAACAAGAGTTAAATCTCTATTTACTTGGGTTCCCTTTACAAGTGTTGCTGCTTCTAGTGAGATGCAAGGTACTTCACTTGAAGATTTAAGCATGATTACATTTGAGCCTTAAACAAGAACTTGGGAATGTGCAAGATATTGTAAATTCCCGCAAGAAATAGTCATCAGACTAAATTACCGTAGTGAAATAGCTCACTTGATATTAATGGCTAAGGAGGATAGATTTATTCCAGAGGTAGAAATTCATATAGGAGATGGAGTTAGTGGCAGCTTTTTAGATGTGGAATACAGATTGGCTGGGTAAGAAATAAGACAATTCAATTTATCTATTTTAGTAAAGGAGAGAATATCTCAACTGCACCAAGACAACTCAATATTTTAGGTATTGGAACATTTATCAAGATAGTATTCATGAAAGGTCCACCTTAAACAAATAAGAATCCTTGTGGGCAAGTCGGCTTAGCATTATTGAAAGTCTGGGGATAACCGTTAGGTTATTATAAAGGTGTAGTCAATGAAGCCACTCCATTAAGAGCTGGAAGAGAAGAAGTTGATAAACTCTTGATTGAAATGGGATTACCTATTGACAATGTCAACTGGAGTTATGTAGATGAATAGAGCTATACTTATGCGCCTGTTGATGATGATACTAGGCAGACTCTTATTGATATGGAGAAGAAGAGAGATCAAGCATTTAAAGTTCAAGATTATGAAATGCTAAAGACTTTGGTTAAAGACCTTAAAATTGTCTTTGATGTAATTTATTAAAGTGACTTTATTAGATAGGAAATGACATCTTAAAACTCAAGAGGGAACTCGAATTAGCAGTTGGAAGAGAAGAGTTTGAAAGTGCAATTGATATCAGGGTAAGCAATATTTGATATGTAAAATTACTACTAGAATAAACTAAGAAGATTAGAAATGTAAAGAGATCAATATGATGCTCTGTATGAAACTTCAAGGTATGAAGATATGATTGTAATGGCAAGGCCTTCAACAGCCTAGTTAAGAGCAGCACAGCTAGCTGAAGAAGAGGATAGAAGAAGACGAGAGTTTTTGAGTAATATATAGCGAATGTGTTTATTGATCATTCTTAGGAAGACAAAAGGAACTCGAGGATGAAGAGGCTAGAAGGAGAAGAATGTCTGAATTAGATGAAGCTGAAAGGTTGAGGCGAATGAGGGAGGAAGAGGAGGAAAGACGAAGAAAAGCTATCGAGGATGCATCAAGAAGAAAAGATAATGCAGAGAGAAGAAAAAGTAAAGTCAAGGAAAACTTTACTAATTAGAAATCAAAAGAGACAGATGTCAATATCAAAGGCGATCCATTGGAATCTAATGATGGTGATATTGATCTTGAACCTTATCTCAATCCTTTATTGAGTCAAGCAGGAGGCAAATATGAAAAACTAGGAATAGAAGCTCTAAGAAGAGCCTTATCAGATGGTACTTTGCTTGTTTGTGGAGTAAAATTGTGGACAGCACTGCACTCTGACAATTGGAGACACAGAGAAGCTTCAGTAAAAGCCTTTTTAGAATACATCTAGGCTCCACTCAAGAAGAAATATATTGGAAAAACGAAAAGGTTATTTTTAGCTTGCTGCGATGTTGCAACTATTGCTTGCAGGGATAAACTACTCCAGATCTATTTCATAGGCCTTTAAATACTGCAGACTGCTATGGCTCCTCCGATTTGTGGAGATGATATTCCTCATAAGATTATCAATAATGCTGTCAAGCCCTTCATATAGTTACTCATAGATAAAATCTCAGAATTAAACTACAGAGCAAGAGATGTCTCATTACATGCTTTGATGTCTCTTTTTAGACATCCTGCAGTTGATATCAGACAACTTATTGAAGGCATTATGGATATTACTGAAAAAGGACCTACTCCTGATAAGATTCAATGGCGTATAGTACTAGCCAGACTAGAAATTCTTCTTCATGTTGTTCAAGAGTTTGGAATCAATAATAAAGCTTGGGATTGGAGAGTTGTCTTCTAAAAGTTAGTTGGTCCTTCATTCTTTAATTAAAATCCAGACGTGAGATTAATTGCAATTGAAGTTTCACTAGAAATGTACAAATCGTGTGGAGGAGAGCTAAAGAGAATGATATAAGAGCTAGATGGACTAAAGCCAAATCTATTACAGACCATTACTAAGAGAATGCAAGAAATTGATGAAACAAGAGGGACTAAGTATGTACTGGGAGGTGCATAAGGGGAGAAAGGTAATCCAGATGGCAATAATGGACTAGAACAAGTTGCTGAAACTCATGAGTGGAGTGAGCAATCCCCAACAAACGCAAATAATAAAAATAAAAATCCTTCCTTTGAGGAGAATAAAGCTGAGTGAGTCAATATAAAATCTAATATACTTTAGGATATTCTATTTCTTAAAATCCTTTTGCTATCTGCCAGTAGGGGTTTTGGGGTTTTGGGGGCATCCCTCATCGCCAGTTCTGCTTAC